CCAAAAGATTCATTGTTCTCTTTTTAAAAGTTTCCCTCATGATTCTGCGAGAAACTACTTTCCTTCTTCCGTATCTTTGTTCCTTTTTTTTTTTTTCATAGCTCGGAAAATCTGTTTTATTCTTTCTTTTTATTGATTTTCACAGACCACTAAGCTATTATGTGGCTGGTTTGTCTTGGATTTAGTCGGATGTACGACCATATCCATTATGTCATAGCATTACTGCAAACCATTAAGCCACTAACCATAATGAGTTTTGGTTTTGACTTAATGTGATGTGCAGATTAGACCTTTGGAACAAACACTATTTAACCTCCAAGAATTAAACTTCCACAGTTGCTTAGTGGCTTTACAAGCCGTTTATGTATGACATGTAACAGCTGTTCCAGATTGATACGCCCCTTCTATCTAAAATAAATTATATTACTTGAACCTTGCCCATTCTTGGGGCATTGACTTTACATCACATATAATATTTCCATTTAATGTGAAGGAAGGGGATTTTGAAAAGGCTGGAAAGAAGTCTTTCCACTTCTCTAGCAAATACCCTGATTTGATTTGAGAATAATGTAGTTCATTGTAGTAATTTTTATAAACTCCACTATCTGTTTTTCAGAAACTCTTCAAGTGAAATGTTTTTATAGAACTACCCAACTTTATATGGCAAATCACCCATATGAATCTCTATCTTGTGTATGATTTTTAAAGAGAAGGAGGAAGACTACTGGAGATAGAATCTAATCTGGTGAATGATTGCATTTTTATCTTATTCTCCACTGCCACCTTGTGGAACACATAAATCAATTAAGTCTGTTTTGTTTCATCCCCAAGATTAAAAAATACCAATAAGAGAGGAACTCAATTTTTGCTTCATACTCATAAACTCATGCTTTTTACTCATTAAAGTTATTCTAACATGTTTTGCTTCTAGTTTGCTCATAAGACATGGATGCTAGTTGGCAATTATCTTTATAAAATAAAATGGACATACACAAATTATTTCCACCGTTATTGTTTTAAAAGTTGAGGATCAAAACTGGCAGCAGACTTTAAAACCAATAACCAGAAATCAAGAAAAAAGATCCTTAGAGATCCTAGAGATTATTCAAGAAGTCCCCCCAAAGTACAAAAAAGGATACAGTTTTATTTTAATTTGTCATTCTTATACCTTTTTTTTTTTTTTAAAGAAAGATAAAATGTCCCAAATCGTTTCAAAATAATTTCATTAAAAAGTGTTGTGGGATTTTTGAAAGGCTTTAGAGCAGCAAATTGGAGAACTACTTGCTCCTTTTTATTCTACAGTTTTTCTTTAGTCCAAAATCTTCAACCCCTAAAAATGACTTCCTCAATTTTACTAATAAAAGTTATTCAGAATAACAGAATAACAAGAGATGGAAGGGGCCTTGGAGGTCTTCTAGTCCAATCCCCTGCTCAGGAAAAAAAAACCCACTCCACTTCAGACAAATGGTTATCCAATCTCTTCTTAAAAATTTCCAGTGTTGGAGCATTCACAACTTCCGAAGGCAAGCTGTTCCATTGGTTGATTGTTCTCACTGTCAGGAAATTTCTCCTTAGTTCTAAGTTGCTCCTCTCCTTGATTAGTTTCCATCCATTGCTTCTTGTCCTGCCCTCATGTGCTTTGGAGAATAGCTTGACTCCCTCTTATTTGTGGCAACCCCTGAGATATTGGAACACTGCTATCATGTCTCCCCTATCCTTCTTTTCATTAAACTAGACATACCCAGTTCCTGCAACTGTTCTTCATATGTTTTAGCCTCCAGTCCCTAATCATCTTTGTTGCTCTTCTCTGCACTCTTTCTAGAGTTTCAACATCTTTTTTACATCATGGATGCAGTATTCCAAGTGTGGTCTTACCAAGGCACACACACACACACATGTTATACATAACATGTGTGCGTGTGTGCATTGTGCGCGCATGCATTCAGAAAGAGAGATGTTTTATCATCTATATTTTGGGTCTTTAAATCATGATGACATTTCCTAATTACTACTTGCTCTATATTACTGTCCTTGATTGATAGAGCCCTTTGTTCCTATATCCTCCGAATGCAAATATCTTCAAGAATTGGCAGTTCTTGAAAGTGCATGTTACAGAGGGAAGTCCTTCTCTCAAGGACTTCTCAACTATATATCCTACTTTAACTAGTATAACTTTGGGTATTTGCCCACTTGCACAAATCACAGGAAGAAGATGCATAGCAACCTCACTTTTCTGCCATGTTCTCATGATGTTGCCTTACTCTCCTCCCAGCCCACCTATGAGGCAGTTTTATGTTGTCCACACTGTATTTTTTCCAATGCTAAAATAGAGTTTCCCTTTTAAGCAAGTGACATGCCAGGGCAGGGCTACTGAATCTGTATCTGAGGCAGGGGTGAAATGTTCCCAGATCCAGTAGCGATGGCGGTCGGTGGTTCGGAGAACCGGTAGCAAAAATCCCTGCCACCCCCCCACCCCCCCATGCCCAGCTGAGTCACGCGATCATCAGAGGCTTTTTTTCTTTTTTTAAAGCATTTTTTCTACAACCTCTTTGGCCGAAAAAATACTTTTAAAAGTAAAAAAAAAAGCCTCTGACGATCGCGCAGCTCAGCTAGGATCGTCAGAGGCTTTTTAAAGCATTTTTTCTACTACCTCTTTGGCCAAAGAGGTTGTAAAAAAAATGGTTTTAAAAGTAAAAAAAAAAAAGTTGGCCATGCCCACCCAGTCACATTACCTCCCACCAAGCCACGCCCACAGAACCGGTAGAAACAAATGTACATTTCACCACTGATCTGAGGTGTTTCAGAATCAGCTGACCCTCAGGAGATGTGTTGATCCCAGCCGTTGACATTGTCCTCAAGAGCCATTGTGCTTCACAATGCAAGAACATCTTGTTCTTTCAAACTGGGTTCTCCCCTTATAATTGCCATTCTCTAAGCCAATCCCTGGCTCAGAGATATAGATCCACACAACCAGCAGCTAACCAGCAGTGGCTTCACACTTCCCAAAAACCAATACAAGCTTTGAGTGATCTAGCTATTAGTCTAGGGATTCATTAAACTCACTTCCTCCCTCAACTCAATGTATGACCACAATTGAGCCCATTTTTATTTATTTTTTTACTAAGCAAGGCAGTTGTTAATTGAGTTATACCTTATTTTATGACCTTTTAGCCATGGTTGTTAAGCAAATCACTACAGTTGTTGAAGACTTCCTTCATTGCTTGTCAGAAGCACCCTAAGGAAGGTTGCAAATGACAATCCCAGGACTCTGGGAGGCTGCAACCATTGTAAACACATGCTGTCTGCCCAGCACCCAACGTTTCATCATGTGACTGTGTGGATGCTGCAACAGCTGGTCCTAAGTCACTTTTTCAGTGCCATTGTAACTTTGAACTGTCATTAGACAAATGGTTGTAAGTCAAGGACTACCTGTATAGCATACTTTAAGGGGAAGGGGAGTCCCACAAGGTAGACCTCCCCAAAATGAAATCCTTTTCCCCTTCTCCCTCTTATACCCCAATGAGTTTGGAAGGGGCTAACTTAAACTAGGAATTCTAAGAGATTAAAGATTGATGGGGATGAGGATGAGGGGAGAGAGGGAGGGAGATGGAGACAGAGACGGGTGTGTGTGTGTGTGTGTGTGTGTGTGTGTGTGTGAGAGAGAGAGAGAGAGAGAGAGAGAGAGAGAGAGAGAGAGAGAGAGGAATCTTAATACTAAGAAAACCAATTCAGTGTAGTAGTTAAGGTATTGGCCTAGAAACCAGGAAACTCTGAGTTCTAGGTCTGCCTTAAACATGAAAGTCATCTGGGTGACTTTGGGACAGACATTCTTTCTCAGCCCAACCTACCTCACTGAGTTGTTGTAGGGCAAATGGGAGGTATGTTTGCCACCTTGAGTTATATATTTAAAAAGATGGGATAATAAATAAATGCTATATTCTTTCCCAGGACTTAAAGAATGCTCCTCTCTTGATTGGTTTCATAATAGTTTCTGAATATTGAGAAGAGAGAGGGAGGGAGAGGGAGGGAGAGGGAGGGAGACAGAGACAGAGACAGGGAATCAGTGGTGGGTTGCCCCCGGTTCGGACCGGTTCTATAGAACCAGTAGTAAAACCGGCGGGAGGCTCTGCCCACTGACCCTGACATCACCAGAAGCTATCTGTGCATGCGCAGAAGCAAGGCGTGTGCACAAGCGAAGTGAGTGCACACGCAATCCTGTTGCAAACTAGTAGTAAAGGTAAGTAGAACCCACCCCTGCGTGGAGTGTGTGTGTGTGTGTGTGTGTGTGTGTGTGTGTGTGTGTCTGTCTGTCTGTCTGTCTGTCTGTCTGTCTGTCTGTGTTCAAGGGTTCAAGACAACCTCTCTGGTTCTCTGTTGGTGGATATTTTCTTGTCAGCAGGTGAGAATTGGTGGAAGGAAGAAAAGAAAGCTGGGATAATCTCACAATTACTTTTCTTAATGTGCCTTGTCCACCATAAATAAGAGCAGCATTTTCTAGCATCATGCCTGGGCAGGAGAGGGGTCAACTCATCAATTGTTACACCAGGGTAGTTTTCTGCCAGTTTAGTCACAGATAGTTGGCACTTTAATTTAGCCATAAAGAAGAGTCCCATATCTGTTTCAGAAGAAGCCTGAAGGATCTATCATTTCAGTAAATGGATCTGGCAGGTGGCCCAGATGGATCAATTATAAAAGAGTACAGAGCTATAATGCAGAAACATCAACCTTGTTCCCTTTGTGTGAATTACAATGCTCCCGTTCAGTTTTTTTTCCTCCAGACTGATACCTATAGGGCTGGAAATTCTAGGAGTTGAAGCCTCCACAATGTGTAGGATGCCAGGATTGTGAAGGTTGTGGTTTCACATTATCATATGGGAAAATAGGTGTTTATGAAATGTATCCCCGGGTTGCCTTTTTTAAAAAAGAAAAAAGAAAATCTGTATTGATTGTAATAAAATGAACAGATATAAATGTCTAAGGGGAAAAAAAAGGGCACCTACCAATTTCAACGGGAAGATCTGTAATCTGGTTACTGGATAATTCGAGAATTTTCAGTTCCTGAAATAAGGCAATGTAACTTGGAATGCTTGAGATCTTAGTATTGTTTACGTGCCATTCTTTTAGGTATGTTTTCTCTTTCAGCCAATCAGGTAACTCCTAAGAAAAGAAGATTTGGGACAGTAAGGAATCTATGACAACAGCAGCATTTCTACCTTCCTCTTCTTCACAAAGCCATTTGAATTAAACCAGGACTCTCCAACCTTGGCAACTTTAAGTCTGGAGGACTTCAACTCCCAGAGTTCCCCAGCCAGCTTTGCTGGCTGGGGAATTCTGGGAGTTGAAGTCCTCCAGGCTTAAAATTGCCAAGGTTGGAGAGCCCTGAATTAAACCACACTCATTGGCTCCGAATGACTTTTCGGTGCACGAAGCACTGCTTTCCCTTTTAACATCCTTGATTTATAACTGTTCATTTAATGACCATTCGAAGTTACAACTGCCCTGGGAAAAAAAATGGCTTAGGACCATTTTTCACACCGTTTCAGCATCCCCATGGTCATGTGACCAAAATTCAGACACTTGGCAACTGAGTCATATTTATGACGGTTACAGTGTCCTGGGGTCATGTTATCCCCTTTTGCAACTTTCTTTTCTTTTCTTTTTTTTTTTTTTTAGTGTATAAATATGCTCCTGTCTTTTGCTGTTGGACTATTTTAACATAAATTACTATATCCAGATCTATTCCACTAAGACTTTCACTTTAACTTGATATACATTTAAATTAACAATAGCTTTTAAAAAGAAATTAAGGAAGCAGAGCTAAAATATGCTCAAGTGTGCTCTTACAATATCAGTTTGTGCTATAGCCCAAAACTTAAACTAACCCCTTGTTGGTGGGCATGCTTATGTCTTTTTTCCCCAGCTAATTAGATAAGATTAATTGAAATGGCTTTGTAGAGATAACATTTCCTCAGAATATTAAAACAAAGCAAAACAGAGCTACAAACCTTTAACATTTGTAATGTAAATAAGGGAAGGGAAGGAAAAGGGAAAGGTTATACAAACATTATTTAAACATCTTTCCAGATTATTGCTTACTACCATAGAAATAAATATAATTTGTCAGAGCTTAGACCTATCAATCGATTCATCAATCATCTTAGCTCTTGGCATACAAACCTTGATCTGTGGTTAATTTGTGATATGAATTCAAACATACATCCTTTTATCTCTGCTTTTTAGTCCTCCTATATTCTTCTATAACTTCAGTACATAGATGCCTATAGGAAGCCAATCAGTTGTTCTCCATTGTCAATGAACTAACTGTTCACAAATTTATACAATGTCCAAACTTCATGGAACATGATGCCCAATGAAGAGCAAATCAAGACAGTTTATCAGGAATAAAGTTTGATATCCTATAATGCCTCCAACCTATCCTGAAGGTTGCCATGTTGTAAACACTCCAAGAGATGGCTCTGTTTAGATTGCTTGACAAAAAAAAAAAGAAAAAGAAAATATATAGGGGGTAGAGAAGGTATTATCAGCTGTTAGGACCCTGATGGCATGTCAAATGTGTGAAATGTCACACACATTATTTTAGCAACAAAAGGAGCCATTGCTGCACTGCCACTTCTACTGTTACCAAGCAACCATGGCATCAACCTCTGTCTTTCCTTGGTGGTGTCACTACTAGTGAGAAGATATCAATGTCAATATCAAAATAGCTATCAATGCTGGGTTGCTAAAGATAAAACAGAAAATATTAAGGAGTTGGAGCACCTACTAAAATAAAATATATGTTGTGTCGTTTATACAAAGAAAGAAAGAGCGCAGAGACAAAATTAATGACTCGCAAGGTTCAGAAAAATTTAAATCTGTCCATTTCAATGGTTGTAAGCAAAGAGTAATTAAAATAATATACTTACTGTCCAGTGTTCACCTGAAAGTTGAAAAATAAATTTGCTTCTTTCCTTGTCATTCAGCAAGGCAATCTTCTTAATCAGTGGTGAGTTCTTTTCAAGTTTATCTAAGATGCTGTTAGTATCTATGAAACCATTATTCAAATATGCAGCCTGTGGAATGCCTTTTCTTTTGCAGTCTAGCATAATATCCCATTCTTGCCTTATCCTGAAAAAGTACAAATGAAAACATTTTCATTTCATTCCTGCCTCCCTTTCCCGCCCTCACACCATCTTCTCCAAATTTTCAATTACATCAAATTCACCAAAAAAGGCTCATTAAGAACTCAAAGGAATTTGTAACCTTTCCTCTGCTGCTAAAGAGGTGGTTTAAGGCAGTGGTGAAATCCAATGTTTTTACTACCGGTTCTGTGGGCGTGGCTTGGTGGGTGTGGTGTGGCTTGGTGGATGTGGCTTGGTGAGTGTGGCAGGGTACTACAAAATCCCCATTCCCACCCTACTCCAGGGGAAAGATACTGCAAAATCCCATTCCCTCCACACTCCTGAAGGAAGGATTTTGCAAAATCTCCATTCCCACCCCATTCTGGGGCCAGTCAGAGGTGGTATTTGCCAGTTCTCTGAACTACTCAAAATTTCCGCTACCGGTTCTCCAGAACCTGTCAGAACCTGCTGGATTTCACCCCTGGTTTAAGGGCAGGGAAGGGAGATCTGCTGTGCTTAAGAAATAGTCAGAAAGCTCTTATGCTAATTGGCTAAAGACAAAAGATCCAAGGCGGTCATCACTTCTTCCTGAGGCATTTACATAAATTGGCATTAAGAAGGTGCAATTAGTTCCTGAGAAGTTCTAGGACATTTTTGAGACAGTTAAGTTTTAATCCTATGCACCCTTAACTACTTTGCCCTAGCAGTCATACATTATTTTAGTATTCCCCAAGCTTGGTGTCATCCAAATGTATGAACTTTAATGCCTAGATTCTCATCAATGGATTTGGGGATTGGGTAGTTCTGAAAGGCCACACATCTGCAGGGCGCCAAGTTGAGAAAGTTGAATTATATTGATGTCAGTGGGTGATTGGTTCTTGCTTTTCATCCATCTCTGGGATTGAATTAGAAAGCTGTTTTCTAAGCTATCCCTCCTTATCTTTATTTCTTCCCAAACCAATTTTATCCTGATATGTGCAGTCGCAACGTGAATGAAAGAGCTGTCAGTTGTGGGTAAACATATGAAGATTATTTCTTCCTTTATTAGAGATATATATTGCCTTTCTGTACCAAGGACTAGACCAAAACTCTAAAGGCACGCAAGTACATTCTCTAAGCAATTCTTAGGGGCCTTAAAGTCATTTAAACATGAGTCTGGAGTCACATAATCATGAAAGATGACCTTGTAGTAGTGCATTGCTGTTACTGCTACACAAATTAAAGCAGCTGATAAGACTCCGCTGCTATTCTTGTGCCTACTTTCTTTTCCTATTTCTATCAAGCACTTTGATACCTCAAAAAAAAAAATTGATGTTGTAGTAACAGTTCTAAATAATAAGAGCCAAAGGTCACCTTTGCCATATAGCTTGCTGAGAGTGACTTTGCAGCGTGAAGGTCAGAGTGCAAAAGGGAATTCCCCCAAGCAGGACAATGGTGAAGAGGTCGTACGGGCTTTACTAAGATAAGTGATCAAATGTCCTTCTAGTATTACTGAATAAAAATAGGCTCGAGAGAGTCAAGCATTCTTCATAAGCTATTCATAAGCCACAATTGCTAGCTTTAAATCTTCTTTAAAGATTTAAAGAAAAGACTTTTAGATTAAAGTATTACTGAAGGGAATGAATAGGTGGGAAGGAGGTTCTTGTAGAAAACATTAACAATTTGCGCAAGCAAATATACATTAGAGCAGAATAAACTGGAACTCCATTCAAAATGCAGCGATGCTTAGAGAAAAGGACAGGACAAAACAAGACAGAAAGTGGTCACCAGAAGCTCTCAATTAGTTGCACATTACAGATTTGCCCAAAATTTCATGCATTTCAGCAAATGAACTGACTCTTTTTGGAAAGATCTGGCTATTCTCCCAGTCACAGAAGCTGGGAAGTTAGTTTAGCCTCTGCAGTATTATTTATTACAGATGAGTTTGTCCTCAGTTGCTATTTTCATATGCTTTTTTTTTTGTTTGTGTTATGTTAATATGCATGTTTCTATCTTCTATTATTATATAAATGTATTAACTAGGTTTGCCACCCAGAGTCGCCTTGGGGAGAGGGTGATCATATAAATGGACACGATAAGTAAATTAGTATCCATCCCCAATGGTTTGCAAAAATAAAGCCTTAACATGGTTCAATTTAGGTGGATTATAATTAAAACATGGGGTTAAAGTAGCCTCTATGGAAAATAATTCAGAAGAGCAACCCCGAATGTAATTAAAGTGCCTTATTTTTATGCTTTCTTTAAGAAAAATATGTATATGTATGATCAATTATGTATAAGAGAATATACATTTACATTATGTGTATAAGAAATAAAAATTTAAAAAAATTTAAAAAAAGAAAAAAAAGAAAACAATTCACAACTCAGATGCTGTTACTAGAAAGCACCAGTCTCACATTTCTGACTGTTGATCAGGATTTCCAAGAATTATAACACACTTTTTTTTTTAATTGTATGATTATCTGTGTGCCTTTGAGTCAGTGTTGACTATTGGACAAGTCCCTGTAGCTTTCTTGAAAAGATTTCAGAAGTGTTTTGCCATTGCCTTCCTCATAGAGGGAAGAAAGAATATGGGCCAAAGGTAACCTAATTGGTTTCATGGTTTCTGGGCCTGATGCCTTAACCACTATACCAAACTGGCTCTTATCATAAGCTGTAGATAAATGTATATGTAAATATGTAGGCATCTTACTAATATATCCTATCTCACTGTCAGTAAAAAAACAATTATAAGCAAAGTATTATTTTATTTTTAATTTTGCTTTTCTCTTCTAATAGCTAAAGAGGCTAAAATAAGTTTAAAATCAAAACCCTATTATAAGCAGTTAGAAAACAAAAAATAATATTATTATCAATACTAAAACCAATTGGTTTAATCTCTACTTAAGATAGTAGGGCAAATAAAAGTTGTTTCATCTAAATATGGTAGATTAATTTTATTTTGGAAAAAAAAACTTATGTCTCTTCATTTGATACATTCGCTGGTTCACTATATAATTCTGAATAAAATTTAAAAAATTGATCATTTATATCCATTGAAGTTTTATAGATTTGATCTTTCACCTCTAATAATTGGAATCATTGCCCTGTCTTGCTTTTATTTTAAACAATTAGTCAGGATCTTACCAGGCCTTTCATCATTCTCCCAATATCTCTGTCATAAACATGTTAACAAATTCTGTCTGGTGTGATATCATAGTAATTAGTTCATATTTCTTTTTCTATATTTCTCTGTACAGAACTATAGATAAGCATCTAAGCATCTGTGCCCATAAATGTTTCAATTCATATTGAAATTGATAGAGGCCCAAACTAAAGAGAGATCTTTCTGGGGAAGGTCTGGTTGTTTAGAGTTAACATTATCTTGAGGGCAAACAATCGATGAACTTTCATGCAATGTTTTAAGTAGTGCTAGCAATTGTCTATCAAAGGTAACATCTCTAATTTGTTCCTGAATTTTTTGTTTGCTTGAAAAATTGCCAATTCCAGAAAGATCCCAGGCAGCTTACAATATTTTTAAATTGTCTAATTTAAAAAGTGACATGGCTTCCCAGACAAACCAAGGCCAGTTCCAGGCCATGATGCAGTCCCACTGGAACAAGGCCCTCCGGCTCTTGGCACCAGCGGTGTTATGTATTGATACTTTTGAGCGGGAGTTTCAAACCTGCCTACGTTTCTGATTGGCTGACAGTCCCTCCAGGATTGTATATAAGGAGGGCTGCAGCCTCTAAGTTTTTGCTGAAGTCTCACTGTAAATTAAAGAGCTGTTGTCACTTGCTTGGTTGTGCCTCTCGTTATTTCCGAACCACTTCATTGGCGACGAGGGTGGGATAGAGGTCACAACAAAGCGAACCAGTGAGACCACGAGCTTCAGCTAGGCGACGAGGCGAACTACAGGAGGCATACCGAACATGTCTGCCTACGTTCTGCCCAAGCCTTTTGATCCGACCCGCGAAAAATGGGTCTCGTACCTGACGAGGTTCGAATGCTTGCTCGAAGCCAGCGACATGCAAGGGCTCTCCGCTAATCGGAAGAGGGCCCTCTTCCTAAGCCACTGCGGACCGGACGTGTTCGAGATGGCAGAGTCACTGTGCGAACCAACGCCGGTCCAGACCGTTTCCTGGGACACCCTGATGGCCACGCTCCGGGCTCACTACGCTCCCGTGCCCTCCAAGTTCGTGCAACGATACCAACTCAGACAGCGCGTACAGCGAGAGGGAGAACCGGTCAGCGCATACATGGCCAGCCTGAGAAAAGCCGCAACCCATTGCGACTATAGAGACTTGGACGATGCGTTGCTTGAGCAACTCATCTGTGGTGTCCGGGACATTAGGCTGCAACGGCGCCTGCTCGCCAAGCCTGATTTAACGCTTGCTGGAGCCCTAGACGAGGCCAGGGCTCATGAAGCCTCCACAAAAGCCGCAGAAACGCTGCAGCATCCGCTGACCAGCAAAGACAACCCCAAGTCTGCCCCGGTGCACAGAGAAGACGCCGGATCCAGCTCGGAATCCGAGTCAGATGAAGACGTTTTCCGAATGGAGCACCAGAGAAAGGACACTGGCAGCCCCCGGCGAAGCTGTCCCAGCTGTGGAGGGCACCATGACAGACTGTCCTGCAAATATAGGGAGGCTATTTGCAGGCGTTGCGAGAAAAAAGGGCACTTGGCGCGAGTCTGTAGAGCCATTCTGCCCAGAAAACACCAACCACGTGAGCGCTGCAGCCAACCAGAAGCAACGCGCCAAAAACAACCAACGAGAGAAGGCAGCGCGAAAAAACGGCGCGAATTTGAACCTCGAGATGGCCGCAGCATTCACATAGACCAGGCCAGCGCAGAAATCGAGGACAAAGTCAGCATGGTGGTCGAAATCAACGGCAAGCCATGCTCAATGGAGATCGACACCGGATCGGCTCTCTCCATAATGTCTTGGGCAACCCTAAAGACCCTCCTGCCGTCGTTCCGGAAGGACCAGCTCTCCAAACAGAGACTGCGCATCCTAGACTACCAGG